AAAGAGGCTCCAAGAAATGCAGAGGCTTTGGACAAAGGCCGGAAATGACAGGACAAGGGGGAATGGCTTCCCACTGCCAGAGAACAGGGTTAGGGGCAATATTGGGAAGAAATTCCTCCCTGTGAGGGTGGAGAGGCCCTGGCACAGGTTCCCAGAGATGCTCTGGCCTCCCCATCTCTGGAGGTGTTCCAGGCCAGGCTGGATGGGGTTTGAAGCAGCCCTGTCTTGTGGAAGGTGTCCCTGCTTGCAAAGGGGTGAGATCAGGAAAAGACAACCACAAGTATTCCCAAGACTGAAGAGGAGGAGGAGGAGCTCTGGTGAAGGGCTGGAAGGGACACCACAGCACCCCAACATCTGGACTCTATTGGCTTTTATTGCATCATCAAGGCTACTGACAGTAAGAAATGTGGGCTCTGATGCTGATAACCTGCTGCAAGCCTGTCGTGGTTTGGCACGGGCCGTTCACTCGCCTTCTCCTGCTCTCAGCTGGGCAGAGGAGAGGGAAACAAAACTTATCAAAGGAATCATGAGTTGAGATGAGAACTGGGAGAAAAAACACTCTTTGCAAAAAAACGGGTCAAATTTTCTGGTATCAAGTAAATTTATTAATAACAGATTCAGAAGATGGTAATGAGAATTAAAATAAAGCTTTAAATCACCTTTTTTCCCCCCAGCCCCTCCATCTTGCCCATTGACAATGCAGGGAGACAGGGCACGGACGTCCTTCACCAGCTTTGAAGCACTGCCAATAAAACACCGTTTACCTGGAAAAACCTGGGTTATCCATTAAACAAAGAGAGACTGCATATTCTGGGAATAATTAAAACCATCAAAACATTGATATCATTATATAATATATTGGGAGCACTTTAGGGAGTATCTATAAAAAATCTCTGATATTATAATGTATAAATACGCCTGGAAATTGTTGTTTCTTTGGACATATCTATGGCAAATATATTTCCAAGATGTTCACAATTTTGACTCAAAATTGTTATTAGGCTAACACGATTTCCTGTAAGACTTCAGTGTCTTGGTGTCTGCAGGGGCACAGCCATGGCTTGTGCTGCCTGGAGCAACCATGATCCCCAGAGCTGGGCTGGCACGGACACGATGGCCCAAGGGCTCAGCATTCCCCACCCCGAGTGCTCTGTCAGTGTCACAGCAGAGATCTCCCCAGAGATCTTTACTTTTCAATTTTGTCAGCCAGGAGCAAAGGTGTCTCTGCCTTCAGAAATTCTTCCTCTCCACTGCCTGCAGCTGCTCCCTCAGCAGGCTCAGGTGGTGCAGCAGCAAGGAGAGGAGGAGGCCGTGCTCCTCAGCACAGCCACCCCCTTCCAGGAGCAGGGTGACACCTGTGCTTGTCACCATGGGCTCCACGGGGCATCACCCCCCTCCCTGGGGCTTCCCTGAGGTCACCAGCCCCACCACACCCCACACCTTCTCTCCAGCCCCACCACACCCCACACCTTCCCACCACATCTTCCCAGCAGCTCCATCATGTCCCAGCCCTCCCACACCACCCTCCCATCCCACTCCCCATGCAGCCCACCCACCTCCCATCCTTCCCATCCCTCCCAGCCCCGTGCCTGAGGCTCCAGTCCCTCCCCACGGGCTGCTCACCCCAGGCTGCCCTGGAAGCCTTTGGGGCCGTGTTTCTCTTGGAGATTCCCCTCCCCAGCTCCATCCCTGGTGTCCAGCCCCCAGCCTCCTTTGGACACAAACAAGAGGCACTACAAGGATGGCTTGGAGTGCCCAGGGTGAACCTTTTGAAGGCCTTTCATCAATGCCTCCTTTTATTCTCTTCACCTGGTCTGGCCTCTGTTCTAGGGAGCCAGCCCAAGGCATCAGGCACACAGGGGCTGGAGGGGGCAGGAGGGCTCTGGGTGCCACCAATCCCAAATCTCCCACTGGACAGCAGCAGAGCCCAACAGGCCACACCTGCAGCCAGGGAGTGGCCAGGGACTGGGAACACATCGGGATGGCATGGCATGGCATGGCATGGATGAGGAGTGATACCAAAATCCGACCGAATAAGGTACCTAACACACACTAATGGTGTTACCAAGGGAAGTATTAGGAAGCACGACACACAGAAGGATCTCACCTTATTTCTGTGTGTGTTGAGAGACTTTACAACAGGGTTTTTATTCATTATGACCATTCATTAAAAAGTTTTTTATGTCGTACATATACACTATTTTCCTTGAACTCATTTCCATGCATCCACTTCCTTCTGGGAGTCCTTTGATGCTCCTGAAGGTTTTCTGAGAGGGGCTTCTGGTGGTTGTGTTCACTGTGTGCTGTGATATTAAAGGTGACCCAGCCCTGAACTTTTCCTTGGGCCGTGTGCTTTTGCTTCTTATTACGGAACTTGCCCCAAAAATACTCTGTGCCTCCTTATCTCTTTCTACACTAGCTCCAGCAACGTTTATCATCCTGTGTCCACATCTTTACATGAATTCATCTCTCTGCCAACTTCAGGGGAGTTGAAAATATTTATTCTCTCTAATTTATCAATCCCCTGCACACCAGCCCAACCCTCCAACCCCACCATTTCCACCGCCCTCCTCCCCTGCACATCTCACTCCTCCCCACTCAATTCTTCCCACTGCAGGCAGCTGCTGAGGAGCTGCATGGTCCATCCCTGGATTCTCCAAGCACTGACTGCCCATCCACTCTGACCACAGCCAGGGGCCACATCCCACTGCCTGCCCAGCATCCATCCATGGAGGTGAGCACCGTGTCCCCTCTTTTCACCTCACCAACTGACACGCCTGCTCACTGTGAGATCAGTGTCTCCAGTGTGGCTCTAGACTTTATGATGCTGCTCGTTGGCCTCTGTGGGCTGGCTGGGAACGGGGTTTTCCTCTGGCTCCTACACATTAATGCCATCACCGACTTCATCTTCAACCAGGCCATCACGGAGTTCCTTTTCCTCATCTTCATGGTCCCCTCCACCCTGCTGTTCATTGTGGAGGAGGTTTCCTGCTCTGCTATAATGCCCCCAATATATATGAGCTTGCTTTTCCAGCTGTCGCTGTTCACCTACAACATGGGGCTGTACCGGCTGACGTTCATCAGCATTCAGAGGTGCAGGTCCATCCTCTGCCAGTTTTTCTGTGGTTGCCAATTTCCTGAGCGCCTACTGTGGGTGGTGATGAGTATTCTGTTCTGGACCTTCCTTTTCATTGTCATCGCTGTCAATCCCATGGTGACTTCCCTGTGCCAGTCACACGAGCAGGAGCAATGCCGGGTGGCTGTCACCTCCATGTACGCCCTCAACCTCTTCCTCTTTGCTGCACCCATGGTCATCTCCAGCACAATCCTCTTCACTCATCTCAAGCCTGGCTCCCAGCAGCAGCAGAACAGGAGGCTCGACATTGTTGTCTTTCTCGTTGCACTCTTCAGTCTGCCCCTGAGTCTCTGGTTTCTCCTGCAGCAGCTCGGTTACACGGCTGTACCCTCCCAGGTGGTTTTCTTCCTCACCTGCATCACCAGCAGCATCAAACCCTTCATCTACTTCTTGGTGGGGAGCTGGAAGAGAGACTGGTCCATGAGGAGCTGCTGGAGACACTGCTCCATGGAGAGCTGCAGGAAGCACTCCTCCATGCAGTCCCTAAGGAAGGCGATCAAGAGGGTGTTTGAGGAGCCAAAAGAAAACACTGCCTCCGGAGATGATCCTGTTGTGAACACCGGGGTCTGAGCCTGTTGATCCCTTCTACTGCACTGCTGAAGGACCCTGGCACAGTGGCTGAGAGATTCCTTGAGTCTCCTGATCAATAAATAGCCACAGGGTCACCCTGCCTGTGCTGGTGCATCCCCAGCCCCTTTCCAGGCCGCTCTGGGCTCTGATCCGTGCTTGTGAGGCCTCAGCCTGGAGGAGCAGCCCCTGGGCTCAGCTCCTGTGGCACTGATCAGAAACACCCTCTGCTTCCAGGAGCTGCTGCTGTCCAACGACCTCCTGGGCTTTTATCAACAGCCTTGGAAATTACTGGAGTGCCCTGGATGCCACAGCATCCCTGCTCTGCCACTGTCACAGGAAGCTGCCGGCCCCAAGCGTGGCCAGGGTGAAGCATTGCTGGCAGTGACGCCCATCCCTTGGGGCCCTGGGAGCAGCGGCCCCAAAGGAGACCCTTGGAGCTCTCCCGGGCCCAGCAGCGCTGAGCAGGAGCTCCCTGGCACCGGGGCCTCTCCCAGCTGGGATCTCTCCCGTCTGCTGCCCTCGGCTGATCCCCGAACGCCCACGGCTCCTGGGCCCAGCCCCCCAGGGCTCCAGGCCCAGCCCTTGGCACAGGCAGGAGATGCAAAGGGATCCGCAGGGAGCATTTCACTGCCTGCCAGGGCAATTGCTCACAGGGACCTTGCACTGACTCTGCCTGCCTGGCTGCCTGTGTGCACACACATCTGCATCTGCTCTGGCAAATGTGCCAGAAATGCTGCTCTCCCAGCTCTCTTAGTGCCTGAGACATCTGACTGGGGCAGGCCTGGAAGCAAGGAACAGGCATGAGATACCATTCCAGCTAAATGCTGTTCATGTCCTTTCTTTGCTAAATTGTGAATTTTTATGTACAAAAGCAGAAATGGCTGGGAGAAGCAGAGACATTGCCCATGGTCCTGGGTTGAGCAGGGCTGGAGCGGGGCTGTCATACGGGAAAAGGCGGACCCAGGGAGGATCTGGAGGTTCTCAGAGGGGTCCAGAAGGGTCAGAGGGTTCTTGAGGGGTCTGGAGGAGGTAAGGAAGGGTCTGGATGCTGCTGATCCCAAATGTCCCAATTGGAGGGCAGCAGAGCCTGATGGGCAGTGCTTCAAGCTGGGGAGCAGCCACGGATGGGATGGGATGGGATGGCATGGCATCGTGTGGCATGGATAAGGATTGATACTAAAATCAGACAGAATAAAGTTCCTAACACCAACTAATGGTGCTACCAGTGAAGTATTAGGCAGCAGGACACATAGAAGGATCTCTCCTTATTTCTGTTTGTGTTGAGAGGCTTTAAAACAGGGATTTTATCCATCATAACACACATACATATTAAAAAGGTTTTATTATCTAGTACATAAACACCATTTTCCTAGAACTCATTTCCATGCATCGACATCCTTCTGGGAGTCATTTGATGGTTTGGAGGATCATTCAGAGGGGTCTCTGGTGGTTGTATTCCCTGAGTGCTGTGGTATAAAAGATGACCTTGCCTGGAACTTTTCCTTTGGCCATGTACTCTTGCTTCTTATTACAGAACTTGCCCAAAAATACTCTGGGCCTCCTTATCTGTTTCCCCACTTGTTCCAGAAACATTTATCATCCTGTGTCCACATCTTTACACCCATCCATCTCTGTGCCCAGTTAGTCTTTAAGAAACCTAAGGGGAATTGAAAACATTTATTCTCTCTTATTTATCAATCCCCTGCACACCAGCCCAACCCTCCCACCTCCCTCTCCCACCCCACCATTTCCACCGCCCTCCTCCCCTGCACATCTCACTCCTCCCCACTGAATCCTTCCCACTGCAGGGAGCTGCTGAGGAGCCGCATGGTCCATCCCTGGATTCTCCAAGCACTGACTGCCCATCCACTCTGACCACAGCCAGGGGCCACATCCCACTGCCTGCCCAGCGTCCATCCATGGAGGTGACCACCGTGTCCCCTCTTTTCACCTCACCAACTGACACACCTGCTCACTGTGAGATCAGTGTCTCCAGCGTGGCCGTGCATTTTGTGACCCTGCTCATCGGCCTCTGTGGGCTGGCTGGGAATGGGACTGTCCCCTGGCTCCTGCACATTAATGCCACCACTTACTTTCTAGCATTCAATCAGGCCAGCATCGACTTCCTCTTCCTCATCATCATGGTCCCCTCCACCCTGCTGTTCATTGTGGAGGAGGTTTCCTGCTCTGCTATAATGCCCCCAATGTATTTCAGCTTGCTTTCCCAGCTGTCGCTGGTCGCCTACAGTATAGGGCTGTACCGGCTGATGTTCACCAGCATCGAGAGGTGCAGGTACATCCTCTGCCAGTTTTTCTGTGGTTGCCAACTTTCTGAGCGCCTGCTGTTGGTGGTGATGAAAATCCTGTTCTGGGCCTTGTTCTTTGTTGTCATCGCTGTCAATCCCATGGTGACTTCCCTGTGCCAGTCACACGAGCAGGAGCAATGCCGGGTGGCTGTCACCTCCATGTACGCCCTCAACCTCTTCCTCTTTGCTGCACCCATGGTCATCTCCAGCACAATCCTCTTCATTCATCTCAAGACTGGCTCCCTACTGCAGCAACAGAGGAGGCTTGACATCGTTATCTTCCTCATTGTACTCTTCAGTCTGCCCCTGAGTCTCTGGTTTCTCCTGCAGCAGCTCGGTTACACAGCTGTGCCCTCCCAGGTGGTTTTCCTGCTCACCTGCATCACCAGCAGCATCAAACCCTTCATCTACTTCTTGGTGGGGAGCTGGAAGAGAGACTGGTCCATGAGGAGCTGCTGGAGACACTGCTCCATGGAGAGCTGCAGGAAGCACTCCTCCATGCAGTCCCTAAGGAAGGCGATCAAGAGGGTGTTTGAGGAGCCAAAAGAAAACACTGCCTCCGGAGATGATCCTGTTGTGAACACGGGGGTCTGAGCCTGTTGTTCCCATCCACTGCACTGCTGAAGGACCCTGGCACAGTGGCTGAGAGATTCCTTGAGTCTCCTGATCATTAAATAGCCACAGGATCACCCTGCCTGTGCTGGTGCATCCCCAGCCCCTTTCCAGGCCGCTCTGGGCTCTGATCCGTGCTTGTGAGGCCTCAGCCTGGAGGAGCAGCCCCTGGGCTCAGCTCCTGTGGTGCTGATCAGAAACACCCTCTGCTCCCAGGAGCTGCTGCTGTCCAACGACCTCCTGGGCTTTTATCAACAGCCTTGGAAATTACTGGAGTGCCCTGGATGCCACAGCATCCCTGCTCTGCCACTGTCACAGGAAGCTGCCGGCCCCAAGCGTGGCCAGGGTGAAGCATTGCTGGCAGTGACGCCCATCCCTTGGGGCCCTGGGAGCAGCGGCCCCAAAGGAGACCCTTGGAGCTCTCCCGGGCCCAGCATCGCTGAGCAGGAGCTCCCTGGCACCGGGGCCTCTCCCAGCTGGGATCTCTCCCGTCTGCTGCCCTCGGCTGATCCCCGAACGCCCACGGCTCCTGGGCCCAGCCCCCCAGGGCTCCAGGCCCAGCCCTTGGCACAGGCAGGAGATGCAAAGGGATCCGCAGGGAGCATTTCACTGCCTGCCAGGGCAATTGCTCACAGGGACCTTGCACTGACTCTGCCTGCCTGGCTGCCTGTGTGCACACACGTCTGCATCTGCTCTGGCAAATGTGCCAGAAATGCTGCTCTCTCAGCTCTCTTAGTGCCTGAGACATCTGACTGGGGCAGGCCTGGAAGGAAGGATCAGGCATAAATAAGGTTAAATGCTGCTAAGTGATATTCCTCTGTTAAATGGCTCAGTTTAAGGTGTAACTGAAGTGCTGTTAAGTTGGAATGCTCTAAATCTTTTAAGCCATTTTCCTTTTAATCCTTACCCTCCCCTGTCCTTTTGTAATAATCCCTTGAATACACACAAACACACAAATAGGGGTAGCACATTGTTTTGCTTAATATTAAACCTTTTTTTTACTGATTTCCTTGCTGGTGCTTTTGTGCCTTCACAAATTCTTCCTCTGCCCTGGCTTTGGCCTCCCTCAGCAGGCTGGGATGGTGCAGCCCCAAGGGGAGAAGGAGTCCATGCTCCTCAGCACAGCCACCCCCTTCCAGGAGCAGGGTGACATCTGTGTTTGTCACCATGGGCTCCATGGGACATCAACCCTCTCCCTGTGGCTTCTCTGAGGTCTCTGAGCTGGGAGTGTTCTGGGGGTCTCTGAGCCTGGAGAAGAGAAGGCATCAGGGAGCCTTCACCTTGGTGCCGCCATGTTGTTTTCCCTCACATGTCCTCACCTCCCTCTCTTCTCTGACTAGATGAAAAACTGCTGCCATTAGGTACCATTGCCAACAACTTCTCTCAGTTCCAAGATTCTTCCAATATTCCACAGTGCTGAGAGGTTGGTCTTGTCCAGGATTCGCATTGGGAAATCGCTCGCCATGTTTTCACCACCGCCCACATCATCCCTCCAACACCATGCAGGCAGCAGCGGCCGCTGCGGGTGCTGGCTCAATTTAGCACATCTCTTTATGTGGGGTGCTGAGAAGGAGTAGCTGCCACTGCTGCCCCTGCCCTTCTGCCCACAGCACAGCTGGCTAGGGGCGGCCAGGCAGGCAAGGCTTGCCACAGGCCACACCAAGATGGCAGCGGCCACGGCAGGATGGCCCCAGCAGCGGTGCCTCGCCATCCCTGGTAAAAACCGTGTGTGTGCTGCTTGGATTTTCTTCTTGAAAATGTCATCACAGAGGCGTCACCAACCTCTCTAATTGAGCCAGCAGCATGTCCATCTTCATAGCCATCAGAAACTGCCTCTGTCAGACATGCTGGAAGCTTCCATGAGCTTCTAACAGGAGCCCCTTTCTGTGGCTCTCCCCTGCTACCAAAAAACCAGGCTGTGCCAAATCAACACAAAGCAACTGTTTGCTGTTCTTCCCTTGGGCAGTGTGAGCCTGCACTTGAATGAAAAATGGGAATTCTTGCCTCAGCCCTGTTTCCTTGTGCCCAGGGCAGGTTTTGGCAATGATCCCAGACCTCTTACCAGCAAGAGAGTTTTTTCTGAGAAGCAGCCTGATGCTCTACCAGCATTGGCAGTGCTGGCACCATTCTGGTGCCACCAGCACCACCAGCATCCCTCTGCTGCTGGAGGGACCATGACCCCTCATGGAAGAGAAATAAGAAATAGTAGAAACCTGTCAGGAGAGGGAAGGCAGTCAGAGAATGGGACATGGTCCAGGGAAGGAGAGTTCCAAATCAGGTGGAAAAGACAACCCATTCCATTCTTCCAGTGGAGTTTTGACAAAACTCACTACCTTTATAGCAAAAAAAAAACAAAAACCAACCCAACCCAACCAATAGAAGTGAAACTCTAATGCTCTAATGCAGCCAAAGTTGCAATTTCTTACTCCTCCGTGACCCCACAAGGCTTTGGGATACAACTGTGAGATAGGGCACAGAAAGAGCCAGCAGGATGGGAATGGGGAGCTCCTGGTGACCTGGGCACTTTCTCCTTCATGTCCCTGACCTGCCAGGAGCCGCTTTAGGACATGGATCCCAAAGGAGCAAGAGGCACCAGGAAGCGCCGCTGATCTGCACAGAGCCCTTTGCCTGCTGCTGCCCCACAGGGAACAGGTCAGTGGAATGTTTGCCTTCCTCCCTACCCCACCTTCCTCTCCTGCAGCAGCTGCTCTGTTCCTGCCACCCTCTCCCGCTGACCCCAGGGCCCTCCCCAGCTCCCCCCTCTCCTGCCCTGTGCATCCCGTCTGTATCTCAGCATCAAAATTGGCTGAAATAATGGGAACAAACAATGGGAAGCATTTGGAAGCAGGAATTCTTTACCTGCACAGCACAAACAGAACAAACTCTTTGATCTCTGTGTAACGAAACTTTACAGCAGGGGTTTTATCCATTATAACCACACATAGACATTTAAAAGTCTTTTTCATCTAGTACATAAAGACCATTTTCCTAGAACTCATTTCTATGCATCCATTTCTTGCTTGGAGTCCTTTGATGCTTCTGGAGGTTCATTGAGAGGGGTCTCTGGTGGTCGTATTCACTCTGATATTAAATGTGACCTTACCTTGAACTTTTCCTTTGGCCATGTGCTCTTGCTTCTTGCAATGGAATTTGCCCCAAAAATACTTCAGGCCTCCTTATCTGTTTCTGCACTGGCTCCAGCCACATTTATCACCCTAGGTGCACATCTTTACGTCCTTTAATCTTTTCGGCCACTTAGGGGCCACTAATCTTTGAGCAACTTCAGGAGTGTTGAAAACATTTATTCTCTCTTATTTATCAATCCCCTGCACACCAGCCCAACCCTCCCACCCCACCATTCCCACTGCCCTCCTCCCCTGCACATCTCACTCCTCCCCACTGAATCCTTCCCACTGCAGGCAGCTGCTGAGGAGCCACATGGTCCATCCCTGGATTCTCCAAGCACTGACTGCCCATCCACTCTGACCACAGCCAGGGGCCACATCCCACTGCCTGCCCAGCGTCCATCCATGGAGGTGACCACCGTGTCCCCTCTTTTCACCTCACCAACTGACACATCTGCTCCGTGTGACATCAATGTCACCAACATGGCCATAGACTTTGTGACGCTGCTTGTTGGCCTCTGTGGGCTGGCTGGGAATGCAGTTGTTCTCTGGTTCCTGCATGTTAATGCCACCACCCACTTCATCTCCAAACAGGCCATCATCGACTTCCTCTTCCTCATCTTCATGTTGCCCTCCACCCTGCTCTTCCTTGTGGAGGAAGTGTCCTGCTCTGCTATAATGTCCCTGATGTATTTAAGCTTGCTCTTCCAGCTGTCACTGTTCACCTACATTATAGGGCTGTACCGGCTGATGTTCATCAGCATTCAGAGGTGCAGGTCTGTCCTCTGCCTGGTATTCTGTGGTTTCCAACTGTCTGAGCACTTGTTGTGGGTGTTGATGACTGCACTGTTCTGGGTCCTCCTCTTCATTTTCATCGCTGTCAATCCCACAGTGACTTCCCAGTGCCAGTCACACGAGCGGGAGCAATGCCAGGCGGCTCTCACCTCCATGTATGCCCTCAACCTCTTCCTATTTGCTGTGCCCATGGTCATTTCCAGCACAATCCTCTTCATTCATCTCAAGCCTGGCTCCCAGCAGCAGCAGCAACACAAGAGGCTCGACATCGTTATCTTCCTCATTGCCCTCTTCAGTCTGCCCTTCAGTCTCTGGAATTTCCTGCAGCAGCTCGGTTACACGGTTGTGTCCTCCCAGGCAGTTTTCCTACTTGCCTGCATCAATAGCAGCATCAAACCCTTCATCTGTTTCTTGGTGGGGAGCTGGAAGAGAGACTGGTCCATGAGGAGCTGCTGGAGACACTGCTCCATGGAGAGCTGCAGGAAGCACTCCTCCATGCAGTCCCTAAGGAAGGCGATCAAGAGGGTGTTTGAGGAGCCAAAAGAAAACACTGCCTGTGGAGATGATTCTGTTGTGAACACCGGGGTCTGAGCCTGTTGTTCCCATCCACTGCACTGCTGAAGGACCCTGGCACAGTGGCTGAGAGATTCCTTGAGTCTCCTGATCAATAAATAGCCACAGGGTCACCCTGCCTGTGCTGGTGCATCCCCAGCCCCTTTCCAGGCCGCTCTGGGCTCTGATCCGTGCTTGTGAGGCCTCAGCCTGGAGGAGCAGCCCCTGGGCTCAGCTCCTGTGGCGCGGATCAGAAACACCCTCTGCTCCCAGGAGCTGCTGCTGTCCAACGGCCTCCTGGGCTTTTATCAACAGCCTTGGAAATTATTGTACTGCCCTGGATGCCACAGCATCCCTGCTCTGCCACTGTCACAGGAAGCTGCCGGCCCCAAGCGTGGCCAGGGTGAAGCATTGCTGGCAGTGACGCCCATCCCTTGGGGCCCTGGGAGCAGCGGCCCCAAAGGAGACCCTTGGAGCTCTCCCGGGCCCAGCAGCGCTGAGCAGGAGCTCCCTGGCACCGGGGCCTCTCCCAGCTGGGATCTCTCCCGTCTGCTGCCCTCGGCTGATCCCCGAACGCCCACGGCTCCTGGGCCCAGCCCCCCAGGGCTCCAGGCCCAGCCCTTGGCACAGGCAGGAGATGCAAAGGGATCCGCAGGGAGCATTTCACTGCCTGCCAGGGCAATTGCTCACAGGGACCTTGCACTGACTCTGCCTGCCTGGCTGCCTGTGTGCACACACATCTGCATCTGCTCTGGCAAATGTGCCAGAAATGCTGCTCTCTCAGCTCTCTTAGTGCCTGAGACACCTGACTGGGGCAGGCCTGGAAGCAAGGTTAAGGCCTGAGATACCATTCCAGCTAAATGCTGTTCATGTCCTTTCTTTGCTAAATTGTGAATTTTTATGTACAAAAGCAGAAATGGCTGGGAGAAGCAGAGACATTGCCCATGGTCCTGGGTTGAGCAGGGCTGGAGCGGGGCTGTCATACGGGAAAAGGCGGACCCAGGGAGGATCTGGAGGTTCTCAGAGGGGTCCAGAAGGGTCAGAGGGTTCTTGAGGGGTCTGGAGGAGGTAAGGAAGGGTCTGGATGCTGCTGATCCCAAATGTCCCAATTGGAGGGCAGCAGAGCCTGATGGGCAGCGCTTCAAGCTGGGGAGCAGCCACGGATGGGATGGGATGGGATGGGATGGGATGGGATGGGATGGGATGGGATGGGATGGGATGGGATGGGATGGGATGGGATGGGGTGGGGTGGGGTGGGGTGGGGTGGGGTGGGGTGGGGTGGGGTGGGATGGGATGGGGTGGGATGAGATGGGGAGAGGTGTGAAGATCAGAATAGGAGTGATACCAAAATCAGTTGGAATAAACTTTGCAACACAATGGGAAGCATTAGAAAAAGCAGCAATTATTTACCTCTGCAGGACACACAGATGGATCTCTCCATATTTCTGTTTGGGGTGAGACTTTACAACAGGGGTTTTATCCATCATAACCACACAGAATCATTAAAGTGTCTTTCTTATCTAATACATAAACATCACTTTCCTTGGACTCATTTCCATGCATCCACCTCCTTCTCCAAGTCCTTTTCTGATCCTGGAGGATCATTCACAGGGGTCTCTGGTGGTTGCATTCACTGAGTGCTGAGATATTAAAGGTGACCTTGCCTTCAACTTTTCCTTTGGCCATGCAGTGTTGCTTCTTGTTACAGAACTTGCCCCAAAACCACTGCAGGCCTCCAAATCTGTTTCTGCACTGCCTACAGCCACGCTTATCATCCTGTGTGATCCTGAGGAGCTCATTGGAGCTGGGCTTTCCTCCTCCCTCCTGGGTCCTAGAACCCTGCGGCCAGGAGGAGCAGGGACACTGCCGGGGGTCCCCGTTGGAGCAGAGCAGGATCGGGGCTGTTTGGGGTGAAAAGGGGGCCCCGGGGACAGTCAGGGGTGTTGCAGGTGGATTCAGAGGGGTCAGGAGAGGCTCGGAGCGGGTTGGAGGGGGTCTGGATGCCGGCAATCCCAAATCTCCCCATTGGAGGAGAGCAGAGCCTGACAGGCCACGCTCAGAATGGGGAACAGCTCTGTCTGGGAAACCTGTGGGATGTGATAGGATGGGGTGAGGATGGAGAGCGGGGTGGGAATGGAGATCAGGGGTGGGGATGAGATGGGATAGGATAGGGAGCAGCTGAGCTGTGCTTCCTTGGGACCAGAGCATGTTTTGGCAATGATCCTAGAGCCCTTCCTGGAACAGGAGTTGTTTCTGAGAAGCACCCAACTGACTCATCAGCACTGCTAGCACTGCCAGCATTCCTGTGCCACCAGCATCCCTCTGCTGCTGGAGGGACCATGACCCCAAAGGGAAGGGAAACAAGGAGTGGTAGAAGCCTGCCTGGAGAGGAAAGGCATTTGGAGAGTGGGACACTCTGCAGGAAAGGAATGTTTCATTTGGAGCTTTTGACAAAGTCACTTCCTCTGTAGCAAAAAAAAAAAAAAAAAAAAAAAAAAAAAAAAAAAAAAAAAAAATCCCCCCAGGATAAATATCTCTAAGGAAGTAGAGCTCTGACATAGCCAAAGTTGCAATTTCTGACTGCTCCATGACTGCACTGAGTCCTGGAGGGCAACAACAGGATTAGGCACAGACAGCAGGTGGTGGGACAGGAGTGGGGAGCTCCTGGCGACCTGGGCACTTTCTCCTTCATGTCCCTGACCTGCCAGGAGACGCTTTAGGACATGGATCCCAAAGGAGCAAGAGGTACCAGGAAGCGCCGCTGATCTGCACAGAGCCCTTTGCCTGCTGCTGCCCCACAGGGAACAGGTCAGTGGAATGTTGGCCTTCCTCCCTACCCCACCTTCCTCTCCTGCAGCAGCTGCTCTGTTCCTGCCACCCTCTCCCGCTGACCCCAGGGCCCTCCCCAGGTCCCCCCTCCCCTGCCCTGTGCTTTGCATCTGCATCCCCTGACAAACAGCCCAACCCTCCCACCTCCCTCTCACACCCCACAATTCCCACTGCCCTCCTCCCCTGCACATCTCACTCCTCCCCACTGAATCCTTCCCACTGCAGGCAGCTGCTGAGGAGCCACATGGTCCATCCCTGGATTCTCCAAGCACTGACTGCCCATCCACTCTGACCACAGCCAGGGGCCACATCCCACTGCCTGCCCAGCGTCCATCCATGGAGGTGACCACCGTGTCCCCATCTCCTGCCTCACCCACTGAAGGAGATAATACACGTGGGATTGATATCACTGATGTGGCCATAGGTGGCATCATGCTGCTCATTGGCCTCTGTGGGCTGGCTGGGAACGGGGCTCTCCTCTCCTCAGCTTCTGCAGGAACCCTATCACAGTCCATATCTTCCATTCGGCTGTCGCCGACTTCATCTTCCTGCTCTTTGTGGCCACCTCCCTCCTGCTCCACCTCCTGGAGGAAGTTTCCTGCTACACTCTTACACTCCGGGAGTACCTGAGGTTGTTTTTCCAGCTCTCGCTGTTCTCTTACACCACGGGGCTCTACCTGCTGACAGCCATCAGCATCGAGAGGTGCACATCCGTCCTCTCCCCACTCTGGTACCGCTGCCACCGTCCCCGGCATCTATCAAGGTTCATGACTGTCCTTCTCTGGGCCCTCCCCTTTGTTACAGTGGTTATCCTGTGCCTGTCACTGAAGCCCCAGCACTGCCAGGTGTCTCTCATCTCCATGAATGCCCTCAACCTCCTGCTCTTTGCTCCAGCCATGCTCATTTCCAGCACAATTCATTAAGGTCAAGTGTATCTCCCAGCAGCAGCAACCCAAGAGACTCAACATCTTTATCCTCCTCACTGTGCTCTTCATCCTCCCCTTCACTCTCCCACTGGAGACTCCCTCTGGACTTTACTGCATCAATTTGGCTACACCATGGTGTCACCCCAAGAGGTTTTCCTGCTTGCCTGCATCCACAGCACCATCAACCCCTTCATCTGCTTCTTGGTGGGGAGCTGCAGGAGGCCCTGCTCCATGGAGGGTTGCAGGAGGCCCTGCTCCATGGGGTCCCTAAGGAAGGCCCTCCTGAGAGTCTTTGGGGACACAGAAGACACTGCCTGCAGCAATGATCCCGTCATGGACATTGTGCTCTGAGCCTTTTGATTCCTGCCACTGCACTGCTGAATAACCCCACCACAGCAGCTGAGAGATTCCTTGAGTGACCTGATTCATAAATATCCACAGTATCATCCCTCCCCCTGCTGGTGCATCCTCACCCTCTTTCCAGTCCACACTGAGATCTCAGAAATGCTCCTGGCCAATGAATTCCGTTGTGCTGATGCTTAATAATAAAGCCGGTTTTGACAGAGTCCTTTGGTGGTGACTTTTTCAGCGATCTCAAACACTCGTTTGGAGCACTCTCGCGGTCTAATCCCGCAGCAGAAGGGAGCATCGGCATGTGGGAGGGATGCCCCGAGGGGAGCACACGGGAGCAGGGCTTTCCTCCTCCCTCCCAGGTCCTAGAAATCCATGACCAGGAGGGGCAGAGACACTGACGGGAGTGCCGGGTGGAGCGAGGCAGGAGCGGGGCTGTCGGTGCCCGGCGGGGGCTGGTCTGGGGTGTCCGAGGAGATGAGGAAGGGTCAGGAAGGCTCAGGAGAGGGTCGCAGGGCTCGGGGGCTGCCTGGCTGCTGGCGATCCCAAATCTGGCCACTGGAGGGCAGCAGAGCCCGACGGGCCGCGCTCGGAGCAGGGAGCGGCCGCCGGCCCGGAAAGCTGCGGGGTGGGAGAGGATGGGGAGAGGATGGGGCGGAGAGCGAGATGGGGAGCAGGGGTGAGGATGGGATGGGGACAGGGCGAGGGAGCTCAGCTGAGCGTCCTTTGGCCCTCTGGGGAGGTTTTGGCAATGATCCTGGAGCTCTTCCCAGAATGCGAAATGCTTCTGACAAGCACCCAGCTGCTTCATCATCAGCACTGCCGGCACTGCCGGCATTCCAGCGCCACCAGCATCACCAGCATCCCTCTGCTCCTGGACGGAGAGTGACCCCACAGTGAAGGGAAATGAGGAATGGTAGAAGCCTGTCGGGAGAGTGGAGGCACTTGGAGAAAGGGACATTCTTCAGGGAAGGAATGTTTCTAATCAGGAGGAAATGATGAGCCAATTGCAAAATTCTGTTTGTGGAGTGTCTGGCAAAAGCCATTTCCTTACTGGACAAAAACCAAAAAAAAAAAAAAGATAAATGACTCAGTAGAAGTGGAGCTCTGACGAAGCCAAAGATGCAATTTCCGACTCCCCCGTGATTCCACCAAGCCTTGGGGAGCAACACCGGGAAAAGGCACAGAGAGGAGCCAGCAGTACAGGAGTGAGGAGCTCCTGGTGACCTGGGCACTTTCTCCTTCATGTCCCTGACCTGCCAGGAGCCGCTTTAGGACATGGATCCCAAAGGAGCAAGAGGTACCAGGAAGCGCCGCTGATCTGCACAGAGCCCTTTGCCTGCTGCTGCCCCACAGGGAACAGGTCAGTGGAATGTTGGCCTTCCTCCCTACCCCACCTTCCTCTCCTGCAGCAGCTGCTCTGTTCCTGCCACCCTCTCCCGCTGACCCCAGGGCCCTCCCCAGGTCCCCCCTCCCCTGCCCTGTGCTTTGCTTCTGCATCCCCTGACAAACAGCCCAACCCTCCCACCTTCCTCTCACACCCCACAATTCCCACTGCCCTCCTCCCCTGCACATCTCACTCCTCCCCACTGAATCCTTCCCACTGCAGGCAGCTGCTGAGGAGCCGCATGGTCCATCCCTGGATTCTCCAAGCACTGACTGCCCATCCACTCTGACCACAGCCAGGGGCCACATCCCACTGCCTGCCCAGCGTCCATCCATGGAGGTGACCACCGTGTCCCCATCTCCTGCCTCACCCACTGAAGGGGACGATCTCTGTGATATTGATGTCACTCATGGGGCCATAGACAGTGTGACCCTGCTCATCTGCCTCTGTGGGCTGGCTGGGAACGGGGCTGTGCTCTGCCTCCTCCAGAGGACCCCCACCACCTGTTACATCATCAACCTGGCCTTCGCCAACTTCTCCTTCCTCCACTTCGCGGTCCCCTCCACTCTGCTCTATCTGCTGGAGGAATTGTCCTGCTCCACAGTCGTGCCCCTGGTGTTCATGAGGGCACTTTTCCCGCTCCTGCTTTTCTCCTACAACCTGGGGCTGTACCTGCTGACAGCCATCAGCATTGACAGGTGCACATCTATCCTCTGTCCACTCTGGTACCGCTGCCGCCGTCCCCAGCGCCTCTCTTGGGTGGTGTGTGCCCTGCTCTGGGCCCTCTCCATCACTGTCATCGTCACAATGACTGCCCTGTGCCTGTCACGAGAGCATGACCACTGCCAGGTGTCTCTCATCACCATGTACGCCATCAACCTCTTCGTCTTTGCCCCAGCCATGGTCATTTCCAGCATAATCCTCCTCATTAAGGTCAAGTATGGCTCCCAGCAACAGCAACCCAAGAGACTCGGCATTGTTATTTTCCTCGTTGTGCTCTTCTGCCTCCTCTTTGCTCTTCCCCTCAGCCTCTTCAATTTCCTGCAGCAGCTCGGCTACACCGTTGTGCCCTCCCAGGTGGCTTTTCTGCTCGCCTGCATCCACAGCAGCATCAACCCTTTCATCTACTTCTTGGCAGGGAGGTGCTGGAGGCCCTGCTCTGTGAGGTCCCTCCAGCTCTCCCTCCAGAGGGTCTTTGAGCAGCCAGAAGAAAACACTGCCCACAGCGATGATCCTGCCCTGGACACAGCCTTTCCAACCTGTTGATCCCTTCCACTGCTCTGCTGTAGGACCTTGGCAGAGTGGCTGAGGATTTCCTTGAGTCACCTGATTAATAAATATCCATGGGATCCCCCTCCCTGTGGTGCTGTAATCCTGCAGGAGAAGGGAGCAGGGGGGCATTGCCAAGGGCCATGTGGGGGAGTGATCTGCACAGAGCACATTGGAGCATGGCTATGCTCCTCTCTCAGGGGTCCTGGAGCACTGTTCCCCAAATGGATCCTTCCCAACATGGCTGTGATCCCAAAATTCCCCCTGGCACCTGGTTCCTGCATCCCACTGAAGTCTGATACCAATAAACAGCACCATGAACCCTGAGCTGCCTTTGCCCTCTCTGCCAGCGCTTCCTGGCTTCCTCTGGCTGCTGCTGCCAGGCAGGAATGTGGCTGGAGGGAGGGGACACAGCCATGGCTTGTGCTGCCTGGAGCAACCATGATCCCCAGAGCTGAGCTGGCACGGACACGATGGCCCAGGGGCTCAGCATTCCCCACCCCGAGTGCTCTGTCAGTGTCACAGCAGAGATCTCCCCAGAGATCTTTACTTTTCAATTTTGTCAGCCAGGAGCAAAGGTGTCTCTGCCTTCAGAAATTCTTCCTCTCCACTGCCTTCAGCTGCTCCCTCAGCAGGCTCAGGTGGTGCAGCAGCAAGGAGAGGAGGAGGCCGTGCTCCTCAGCACAGCCACCCCCTTCCAGGAGCAGGGTGACACCTGTGCTTGTCACCATGGGCTCCACGGGGCATCACCCCCCTCCCTGGGGCTTCCCTGAGGTCAACAGCCCCACCACATCCCACACCTTCTCTCCAGCCCCACCACACCCCACACCTTCTCTCCAGCCCCACCACACCCACACCTTCCCACCACATCTTCCCAGCAGCTCCATCATGTCCCACCCCTCCCACACCACCCTCCCATCCCACTCCCCATGCAGCCCACCCCCCTCCCGTCCTTCCCATCCCTCCCCGCCCCGTGCCTGAGGCTCCAGGCCCTCCCCACGGGCTGCTCACCCCAGGCTGCCTCACACGGTTTTTAGGGACTGTTTCTGTGGGACATTCCCCTCCCCAGCTTCACCCGCCGTGTCCCGCCCCCCAGCCTCCCAGGAGAGGGACCAGAGGCGACAGCGGGATGGATCCATCAGCGTTTATTGGGGCAGAGGAGCGTGGAATGGCCAGGAGTGGACACACAGCCGGGGTTCCCGGGCGGAGCGGGGCTGTCAGGGGGGAAGGCGGCCCTAGCGGGGAATATGGGATGTGAGAGGGGATCGGGAAGGGTCCGGATGCAGGCAATCCCAAATAATTCCACAGGAGGGCAGCAGAGCCCGACGGATCGCGCTCGGAGCGGACGCCAGCTGGGAAACCTGCGGGATAGCATGGCACGGCACGGCCTGGCATGGCACGGCATGGCACGGCATGGCATGGCATGGGATAGGTACAGGCAACAGGGAAGGGGAGCCGAGATGAGGATAGTTTGGGGATAGGACTGGGGTGGGAATGCAGATAGGATGGGGATGCAATGATAGGTAGGGATAGGGATAGGGATAGGGACAAGGACAGGGATAGAGATAGACACAACAACACAACAACATGGATCAGTGGGATGGGAAAAGGGATGGAAAAGCTGTGGGATGCATCCTGACTCACAGCTGCAGGAAGATGACCTGCAGGCCTGCTGGGAGCGAGGGTGGGCAGCTGAGCATGAAGGCAGCGTGGGCAGCAAGGCTGGTGGGACCACAATGGCCTCTCAGCTGGACACTGTGGTGATCCCTGTCTCCTCAAAGACCCTCCGGAAGGCAACCTGGAGGGACACGACAGAGCAGTGCCTCCAGCAGCTGCCCACCAAGAAGTAGATGAAGGGGTTGATGCTGCTGTTGATGCAGGCGAGCAGGAAAACCACCTGGGAGGACACAACACTGGGGCTGAGCTGCTGCAGGAAATTGGAGAGGCTGAGGGGCACTCCAAAGATGAGGAAGAAGAGCACAGTGAGGAAGATAACGACATAGAGCCTCTTAGGCTGACGTCTCTTGGAGCCACACTGGACCTTGATGAAGAGGATCACGTTGGAGATGACCATGGGTGGAGCAAAGATGAGGAAGCTGAGGGCATACATGGAGATGAGAGCCACCCGGCAGTGCTCGTGCTCGTGTGACAGGCACAGGAAGGTCACCACGACCATGACAGTGATGGAAAGGGCCCAGAGCAGGGCACACACCACCCATGAGAGGCGCTGGGGACGGCGGCAGCGGTACCAGAGGGGGAAGAGAATTGAGCCACACCTCTCGATGCTGATGGCCGTCAGCAGGTACAGCCCCATGTTGTAGGAGAACAGCGACAGCAGGAGAAGGGACCTCAGGTACTTCAGGGACACAACAGTGGAGCAGGACAATTCCTCCAGCAGGTAGAGCAGGGAGGAGGGGACCATGAAGAGGAGGAAGGTGAAGTCGGCGACGGCCAGGTTGAGGATGTAGACGGTGATGGGGTTCCTGCGGATGTGGAATCCCAGGAGCCAGAGCACAGCCCCGTTCCCAGCCAGCCCACAGAGGCAGATGAGCAGAGTGACACCGTTTACAGCCACATCAGTGACATTGATCCCGCAGGAATCATCTCCTTCAGTGTCCATCAGGGGAGGTGAGGCAGGTGGGGACGTCTGGTTCAGCTCCATGGCGGGAGGTGGGATGTGGTCCCCAGCTGTGGTCAGAGCAGAGGGGGGTTAGTGGGACCCCAGGGGATGTGAAGGGAGGGGGATCCCAGTGAGGTGGCACAACAGGGCTGGGGACAGGGAGGCCGTGGGATGGCTGGAAGTGAGGTGAGGGCAGAGGGAGGGTTGGATCAATCCAGTTATCCCGACTGAGGACAACCATGGGAGCGGTGAGAGGGGCTTTGGGGACATCCAGGGAGAAACAAGCAGTGCCCAGGGCTGGACTCTGGTCCCGATCCCCTACCTTTCCTTGGGGCCAATCCGTTGGTGTGTCCGAGCAGGGCACGCTCCCTCCCTCCGGTGCTCCTCGCCACGGTCTTCTCCAGTGAGGAAAACTGCGGTCTCCACGTCCTCAGAAGCTCCAAGCAGCCTGTTTGTCCCCAAATAAAGCTGCTTTTTGGGGCGTTTCTGCACAATCACGGGTCAGAACTGAGAGCACTGGGCAGTTGCACACAGGCTGCCTCTTCTCCCATCAAAATTCTGTTGGTCTTGCGGGAAAGGAAATGTTTTGTCCGAGCAAATACCCCAGAGGACGAACACTGCAGCAGTTGCATCTCGCTGTGAAAGAATCTTGATGCTTTTAGGATTCAACCTGATATCTCATTAGACTGGTAATTGCCACCTTCCTAATTGTTTGATAGTGCTCCAGTCTCCCCTCCCCATCCTGCCCCGATGCTGGCATCCTTCTGAGATTGTTCATTACCGCGTGCATTTGCCTCCCAGTGTGAGAATCCCTCTCCACCGACTTCATCCTGCTCCAGGCCTGGGTGAGAATTTGGAATTTGTTGTCTGAGCCATCATTCTGGATTCGCTGCAATTGGTCTGGGGGCTCCAGAGCCCTCCTGGACCGGCTGGTACTCACTGAGAGAACCTGGAGAGGCTGGTGGCAGAGATCTCCCCAGAGATGTTTAATTTTTAATTTTGATTTTGGTGGCAGATGGGGGGGCGGCAGGGGACAGCACACACGACCCCACATCCCTCCCTGCAACCCTACACAAGAAGCACCCATTCACCTCCACCAAAGTTTTGGGGTGGCAGAAGAGGGGAGGGGAGAGGCTCTTGGGCACATCCAAACAGGGGCACGGGGGACATCACTGCTGGAATTGCGTGTCCCGGAGCAAAGCGGGGTGTCACAGCCTGTCCCACCCACGTTGGAATCACTAGGAAAAAACAGGAGCTGGGTGGCTGCCCCCTCACCCAGGCGCTGCTGACAGAGAGTCCGGCAGGGCCGGGCTCAGCATGGCACAGCACGGGTGTGACAGCCGGGCTGGCGGTGGCAGCGGGGCCAGGGCAGTGAGTCACCCCCCCGTGCCTCGCTCCACCCCTGGACTTTGCCTCCCGCGGATGCTCAGGGCAATAAACCCCAGGCTCGGAGGCGGGAATGGGGCGCCGGGGAGGGCGCCGGGGTCCCACCCCTGGGGGCTGCGCTGCGCAGGGGGATCTGCACGAGCGGGATCGGGATGGGGAGCGGGATCGGGATCAGGGGATGATGGAGTGTGCCTGAGGCGGCGGGCAGGAGTGCGAGGCAGTGTCACACAGGCAGGCAGGACACGCAGGTGGCAGTGTGACGCTTGTGCGCCGCGCGGACCTGCCGGGACAAGAAAGGTCACCTGTGCGCCAGGACACCTGTGCGTGTGTCCCGGCCACTGTCACCGCCGCGGCCACAGCCCCGGGCGGGCGGGCGGGCCCGGCGGGCGGGTGACAGCCGCACCCTGGAGCGGGCGGGCGCTTCCCGCCTCCCTGTCCCCATCCCTGTCCCCGCCGAGGCCACTCCGGCTCCGTGGCCCCAGCGGACACCCCCATGCAGCGGGAGCGAGGGGAGCAGAGCCCAGGAGCCCCTGAAACCGAGGTCAAGGCTGTCATCGTGGGGGATGGCGGCTGCGGGAAGACGTCGCTGCTGGTGGCCTTCGCCAAAGGGGACTTCCCCAAGGTACCGGGATGCCTGTCCCCTGGTGGGTGGGGGACTGTCCCCGTGCCTGCGGGAGCGGTGGCGGGCAAAGGGCGGTGGGACGGACACGGTGGCAGCAGCGGGGCCCTTTGAAGCGGGACAGGGGGACAGGGGGTGGCCTGACTGATGGGGGTCTGTGACGCCTCTGCCTTGGAGTCACGGGGGGAGGCAGGGTTTGTCCCTCAGTGAGGGCACATAAGGGACTCAGGGAGTGCAGGGAAGGGGGGCAGCCACAGAGACCCCAGAACCCCTGTCCTGGATCCCCAGGTCCCTCTAGGGCATCCATGGGGATGGGGGACAAGGGTGGTTCCTATGCCACTGCCCCAGGGAGGAAGCACCATTTCCCACTCCCTGTTTCCCTGCCTGTGCTCTGTTCTGTCCCCACTGGGGTCCCCTCTGTCGCTGCCTCCCACAGCTGCCTGTGTGACCTGTGTCCTGTCCCCTGCCAGGTCTATGTCCCCACTGTGTTCGAGAAGTACACGGCGTCCCTCCAGGTTGCCGGCAAGCCCGTGAAGATCCACCTGTGGGACACAGCAGGTGGGACAGCAGGGGACAGCCCGGGCTGTTGTGCCCCCCACTCTCCCACCCGGGCGTTTTGGGCTGTCCCACACATGTGGTCATGCTTTGGAGGGCAGTCCCCCCCATGACCATAGCAGAGGGGGGGTTGACCCACAGCCATCCCCACAGATGTCACTTTCACGGTGTGTCATGGTTTCCTTCTCCACCCGGCAGGACAGGAAGATTATGACAGGCTTCGCCCTCTGTCCTACTCAGATGCCAACGTTGTCCTCATGTGCTTTGATGTCACCGACTCCAACAGCTTTGACAACATCCTAACAAAGGTAACGCAGCCCCGGGGGTGCTGCCTGTCCCTTGTCCCCATCCCTTGGTGGCAGGTGCCCATCCCAGGGTGACGTGTCCCCTCGCAGTGGTACCCGGAGGTGAACCACTTCTGCAAGGGGGTCCCGGTGCTGCTGGTGGGCTGCAAGACGGACCTGCGGCAGGACCAGGAGGTGCTGCAGAAGCTGAAGGACGGACGGATAGAGCCCGTCTCCCGCCAGCAGGTGGGTGTCACCTCCCGGTGGCACGGCACAGGACAGCGGGGTCCTGGGGAGGTGTGACTGTGTGTGTGTGTCCCCGCAGGGAGAGGCCATGGCCCGGCAGGTCCGCGCCGTGTCCTACATGGAGTGCTCGGCCAGGTACCAGGATAACGTCGGGAACATCTTCGTGACAGCCTGCAGTGCCGCCATCAGTGCCGCCCGCCGGAGGCAGCGCAAGGCGGGACCCAGGAGGGTCTGCTCCATCCTCTGAGCCCCCCGGCTCGGCACAGCCCCCTCGGACAGCCACCGCTGTCCCCGAGCTCCGACCGCATCGCGGCTGCTGCCACACCTCTGCCTCCGCCACCGGAGTGCCGCTGCTGCCACCCTCCCGGCCCGGGGCTGGCACCGCCGGTCACCACGGGGTGACAGCAGGAAAGCATTCCTGGCATGAACTGTCACGCCTGCATCCCAGAGTTCCTTTCCCGCTGGGGATGCCCGCGTCCTGTCCCTGTCCCGCCAGGAATCCATCCCAGCGTCCTGTGCCATCACCCCCTGCCAGCCAGGCTCTGGGGACACAGAACTGATTTGGGGCTGCCCTTCCCGCTGGCAGGCCAGCGCTGGAGGGTGACAGGCATGACTGCAGGGCCATCTTCTGCCATTAAAGTGACACAAAACTCATGGCGTGAACCGTCCCTGGGGCAGGAGCAGCCCCTGCATGGCCTGGGGGCCTCGGGGACTCCGGGTGGGTGTTGGGGACATGGTGTGGGTGCTGGGGACATGATGTGGGTATTGGGGACATGGGTGTGGGGGGGTGTTTGGGACATGGTGTGGATGTCAGGGACATGGTGTGGGTGTTAGGGTCCTGCCACGGGCGCAGAGTGGATGAGAGACCAGTGGATGAGAGGGATGGGGTCACCGGCTGATTTTGGGTTGAGGTGCGTGTGAGCATGTGTCCAGGTGTGTCCAGGTGTGTGCTGCACATACAGATCTATAACCATATGTATAATTATATATATATTTTTTTTTATATATGTACTGCTATATAATGTATAACTAACTATATAATTAATGTATAGTCATCCATATCACTATATTTATTTTATATATCACTGCATATAGTTAGGCTATAGCTATCTGTATAACTATGTATAGTTTATAAAACACTGTTTATAGTGTATAACTAAGGAGCTGCACTAGTTGCCTAGGTGGATGCAGGTACCTGCCGGTGTCTCTGCATTCAGACCCCCATACAGGCGTGCAGAGCCGTGCGGGCGGCCGTGAAGCCTGCGGGGACAGCGAGGGAGCTCACGGCGGGGCGTTTTGGGCCACGAACCCCCAAAATCCCGCCGAGGTTCCCCCTCTCCTGCCCCCCGCGCCAGGGGCGTGGCCACGCGGTGGAGGGGGCGCGGTCACACGAGGGGGCGTGGTCTGTGCGGGAGTGGGCGGGGCCGGGGCCGAGACGCGCGCGCGCGGGGCGGGGCGGGGCGGGGCCGGGCTGGGCAGTGCACGGCGCACGCGCGGGTCGCGGGGGGGCCCGTGCGCGCGGCGCGTGCGCGTGGCGTCGGTGTGTATGTGAGGCTCTGACGGGTTCAAAATGGCGGCGGCGGCTCCTGTGTGAGGAGGGGGAACCGCGTCCCGGCCGGGGGGCGGCGGCGCCGGGGGGGCACCGCGCGGGCGGGACGGGGCGGGCGGCGCCGGCGGAGCCCCGGCACTCGGCGGCGGGAGGGGTGCGGTGGTGGTGGAGGCGGCGGCGGCGGTGGCGGCGGGGGGACGCGGGCCGCGGCGGCGGGGGGCGGCCGGCGGGGCTGTCAGCGCCCGCTGCCCGCGCCGGGAGCGGCGAGGCCGGGGGCGCGGCGGGGCCGGGGCGCGATCGCTGCTGACCGGGGGGTTCCTCCTCCTCCGTCTGTTCTGTTCCCCCCCCCGTGCCGGCGGTAGAAGAGGACAAAGGCGCAGGAGAGACCTGGTGAGCACCGCGGGGTCACCGGCGACCCCCGAGTTTGTGCGGGGCCCCGGAGCGCGGCCGGGCGGGAGCGGGCGCGGGCGGCTCTCCCCTTGCCGGGCCCCGGGAGGCCGCGTCGGGAAGTTGAGGAGGGGGCGGCGGGTGCCGGCTGACAGCTCCCCGGGGACCGTCCCTCCCTCTCTCCCTCCCGCCTCCCGTCCTGCCCCGGCGGGGGCGGGCTGGGGTGGCCCGGCGGGCCGGGGGTGGCCCCTTCCCCCGCGGCGGGGCCGGCTTGCTGAGCTCCGCTTGTCCGGTTGTTTATAAACAGAGTTCAGCAAGTGTGGGGAAACTGACTCCCTCGGCCCGGGCGGGAGTGCTGTGCCGTGGTTCCAAGGGAGGCAGGGGTGGGGAAGGTGCTGGCGGGACTGGGAGCGCTCGGCTGTCGAACCCGGGGGTCGGGGAGGAGCAGGATGGAGCGAGTTCTCCCTGCGTGGTCGTAGTGGTTCTCTAACACTGCGAGGGGGATGGCGGATCCCCTTCCTCGATGCTGTTCCCCTATTCTCCTCCCCGAAGGTCTGACTTAGGCATAGTCCTGGGGATTAAGAGTCGTGCCATACCCAGGCTTTGGTTGGTTTCTGTCCCTTTAAAAAAAAAAAAGTGTAGGTGCCATCTGACGCCCTGGGAGGTTTTCCCAGGTTGGTGTGTGGTGTCAGAAGGTGGCACATTTGGAGAGCTCAGCATTTAGGTCCCCTCCAGCCAGGAGTTAGATCCCTAACTGCTCCCCTGCTTGGGTGCTGTATGTAGGAGAGATCCCATATGCCTTCCCTGCTCATGGGACATATCCTGTACCACTGTAGTTTCTCCCAGGTGCTACGGTACAGGATATCCCTGTGATTGTGGCCAGTGATTGTGTTGTTTGCAAAAGTTGGCTCTCCAGTGTTTAATTTTGGAGAAGCCAGGGTTTGACAGCACCTTCCCTGGTTTTTATCCCACTGTGGGCCAGAGGAGCTGCTGGTGGTAGTGTGGAGCCAGGGTGGGAGACCTGCAGCTCCTGTTGTGTTACAGAAGAGCTGGTCAATTTGTTTACCCTGACATTTATTCTAAGTTAAAATAGGAGCCTTAGAGGTTGGCGTGGGCTCATCCACTGGGTTCTCTCAGCCCCCAGGGCGGGGTGGGGTTGGCCCCAAGAGGAGAAGGGAAGTGAGGGGTGTGGGTGTCCCTGTGCCCTTTTTCACTGTTTGCCTCTGGCTTCCAAGGAGGAAGAGGACGACGACAGCAGTCCTGGCGTGTCCTTCTCGCTCTCCTCCGAGGAGTCGGAGATGGAGCCCGAGGAAGAACGGATCCGATACAGCCAGAGACTGGTCAGTAGTGCCCTTGGGACAATCCTGTTCCAGGCTTGGTTCTCTTGCAGCTGGAGAGGGGAAAGGCTTTTCCTGGCAGCGGGGTTGAAGCACCCAAACAGGTTGGTGGTGGATGGATGCAGCCTGCACAGAGGTGTGGGCTTGGCTTTGGTGGCTTTGTGGCTCCTTTTGTGTCACCGAGTTTGTCCTATTGAAGGGAATTTGGCTGCTGAGCTCTGGAAAGGGGGTTTGGAGGCTGAAGCTGGGGAAGGAGCTTTGGGATAGGAACATGAAACTGGTGTCAGTGTAGTTTCTGTCTCAACAGGTTTTTTTCTGTGTGTTTGTGACACAGCAGAGGACCTGAAACACTGTGTGTTACCAATCTTGATTTGAGTGGCTGTGAAAGCTGAGGGAACCAGCTCCAGCTTCAAGCTCCAGTTTTCCTGTGCCTCTGTCCCTTCCCAATGTTTTTTTCTGAAGGGAGCTGTTCCAGCATTCAGGTCCCAGTCAGGCCCTGTCAGGAGCTCTGGTGTTTGTGCTGGGACTGCCTGAATCCAATGGTCTGGGAATTGGGCTGTAACTGGGAACAGCCTGGGAGCAACTGCTCTTAGAGTCTGAGGTGATATTCCCAGAGAGGGAGGGAAGCTGCTGTGTCTCCCACGCTGTTTTGAGGCAGTTGCAAGCCCCCAGGGAGGGCAAGTGGCAGCTCTGTGGTGGAGTCCCTCCCTGAGTCACTGCAGTACCCTCACCTTCAAGGTGCTGCCCATAAAGGTGAATCTTTATCCTTTAATTCTCTGGAATCATTTGGTGTGAGGCTGCGTGGTTCTTGGCATTAAGCTTTGTCCTCAAGATGAGCAGTTCTGGGTGCTGGGGAGTTCCCCAGTGCTTTGGGGGATGTTTTAATTTGGCATCAGTGCAGTCCCACCTCCTCCCTCATTTATTCCCACAGCTGTGCAGGATGCAGCTCAAGGTGCTGGTTTGCCTGGGGAGGGATCCAGGACTAACCCAAAACATCTGGATAAAGATGTGGCAGGTGAAGGGGGCTATCAGCCAGGAACTTGTCAGTTGAAAAATGCTTATCATCTCTCAAATGAAAATCAGGAGGAGTTGGTGTCCTGGTGCAGGTGGGCCATGCTCCAGCAGAATGTGCTAAGCTGGATAAATGCCTGCAGGCTGATGAGCTCCGTGCTTAAGGGGTTTGGGAAGGCACATGGGCAGCAGGGTGAGGCTCACCTGGACTTGTGTGGCCTCTGTGCTGTCTGTGCTGGCCTGAGGCCCAGGGAGGAGGCATGACCCCTGTGTGGTGGGTGAGGCTTAACTCCTACCTCCTGCCATGCTTTTCCTGGAAACTTCCAGCTCATTATGTGCTCCTGCTGTGTCAGTGACACTCTCTTGCTGAAGGACCCTTAAAAAATGATTATTTTTCTTCTGGAGAGCATGATTTGACTTACTCGAATATCCCATATATGCCTTGGACTTGGGAGCTTGGTTAGTAGGCCTAAGTAGGGAAGCAGTGAGCTGGTGGTACAGAGTGTTTCTCCTGCTGTCAGCTGTGTTTCTGGTGTGTGACTGGGGCTCCATTAGCAAAAAATAAATGTGTTTTAAAAAACCAATCCAGGTGTGATAGTAGTTCTACCAGCCAAACAACCTGAACCAGAACAGTTTATGGTGGTGCAGGAGCTGAATTAATTGTGTGGTTTGATGGTGCCAGCTGAGATGGCAGAGGCAGTTTGTTCTCTGGTGTGTCAGGTAATCACACTGACAGCATCTTTTTCCTGACTAGTTTCTCTTGGGACATAGAGGAAATCTTGAATGTTCTGTGTTGTTTTATTTAGTTTGCACTAATGTTGCCTTCCCCTGATTCAGCAAAAATCTGATGTGTGTCTGTTTTGTGAATGAATTTATCAGTGTTGGTGAAAGATCTGGGTCTGGAGGAGAGTTTCACCTCTGCTTCAGGTGTGGTCACACTCCTGCAAGAATTCTCTGCTGGGTCACACATGCCTGTGTGGCACAATGACACTTTGATTGGATGGGCTGCACTGCCCTAACTGTACTTTCTTCCTAGTTCAGGCTCTGCATCCATGACTCCCAGGATAACACAGGCCTGGGTGAGGGCTCTGGACTCAGGGATATCTTGGGAGGATGTCTTGCACCCATCCAAGACTATCTGTGGGAGAAGCTGTGTCCTGGTGAGCTCTGGGAGGCTCACAGGCAGTGGGTGATGCTGAATGTGGAGAGGACACAGAGGAGCAAGTTATGGGCTATCCATGCTCCTCACCCAGAGACTGGGAGCAGTGGAGATGGGACTTGCAAGCACTGTGGAGTAGTTTCCTGCTAATTCCATGTGAGTGTTGTTCTGCCCCGCTCCGTAACGAGGCAGTTCCTGGGGCTTGGGCTGA